GACTCACCATCCAGGATTGGTTTTCTTATCTGAAGTTAAAAAGCAAAAAGATTTTGTTTCCAAAATTTGCAAGAATCTAGGTTTTGAGGATAGATGGTTCTATATAGAGCCTAATGGAACTAAGGGAGGCCTTCTATTGTGTTGGGAGAAGGAGATTGATATTATTCAAGTCAAGGGACTGGACTTCATTATCCAAGTTCAATGCAGATCAGGTAACTCATCAAAGGTGGAGTGGTTTATCTTTGTATACTTAAGCACAAACAAAATGGAAAGAGAAATGCAATGGAGATACTTGCAGCATGAAAAGTCTCTTTGGGGAGATGAGTGGGTCACCATAGGTGACTGGAATGACATTTGCTGTGGTGAGGAGAAAAAAGGGGGCAGAACCAGAAATGATAGAAGTTTTGAAGGCTTCAATTCTTTTATTGCTGTCATGGGAATGGCTCAGATTGGGATGAAGGGATACCCCTTTACTTGGGGGAATAATAGAGAGGAGGAGGGTTTTGGATAAGGCTTTTGGTTCTCTGAAGTGGATGGAAAATTACCCTCAGGCCTCGGTTGATAACATTTTCAGAAGCTCTTCTGATCATGGGATGCTAATTCTTAACTGTGAAAACATCTCTACACATGGAAAGTCCAGATTTATGTTTGACAAGAGGTGGACTCAGAGAAGAGGGATCAGTGAAGTGGTGAAGACATCATGGAGTGGCTTTGAGACTGGAACCCCCTTCTTCATTCTCAAAGAAAAAATCAAGAAAACCAGGTTGGCCTTATGCAAATGGAACAGAAGCTTCAGGGCAGCAAACAAAGGGAACATAGAGAGATTAACACTGACCTTAGAGCAAATGAGGGAGTTAGGGGGAGGGAGAAACTGGGAGGAATAGGAAGCAATCAAAGCTGAACTTGATGCAGCTCTTATATCGGAGGAAAAATTTTGGCAGCAGAAGTCAAGAATTCTATGGCTCAAAGAAGGTGACCGCAATACAAAATTTTTTCATGCTATGACAATTCACAGAAGGAAAAGAAATGCTATAACAAGGTTGGTAGAAGGCAGAAATATTTTTGATAGTCCTGAGGAAATCGAAGAACATGTTATTAACTTCTATGAGCATTTATTTACTTCTGAGGGGTCAATCAACGAGGTAGAGGCTATGTGCAACATCAACTCAGTAATTACTGAGGATTTGAATGAGGATCTTACCAGAGTTGTGGAGAGGGAGGAGATCAAAAATGCACTATTTCAAATGAACCCTCTAAAGGCCCCAGGAGAGGATGGGATGACTGCCTTGTTCTATCAACACTTTTGGCCAATACTTGAAGAGGATATTTACAAAGCTGTCCTAAGTTTCTTTGAATCAGGCCAACTTCTCAGGTATTGGAACCAAACTTTGGTGGCTCTAATCCCTAAATTTTAGCCCCTTCTTCTCTAAGCCAGTATAGACCTATCAGTCTATGTGGGGTAGTTTACAAGATAATTTCTAAGATCCTGGCCACTAGACTAAGATCATGTCTTGCAGTCTGTGTCAACCCAGCTCAGGCAGCATTTATTCCAGGCAGGCAGATTATTGATAATGTGGTGATAGCCCAAGAGATTTTTCATTTTCTTAACCGGCACAGATCTGGACCTCATTTCTATATGGTAATTAAATTAGATATGCTCAAGGCTTATGACCGAGTGGAGTGGATGAGTGTGAAGAAAACAATGCAGAAAATGGGGTTTGCAGAAGGTTTTATCAAGTGGATCCTGGCTTGTATTTCTACATCTTCCTTCTCCTTTCTGGTTAATGGCAAGGCAGTAGGGCACATTAAACCCACCAGAGGATTGAGGCAAGGTGACCCAATTTCACCTTACCTTTTTCTTCTGGTTTCAGAGATTTTCTCTTCCCTCATCCAAGCTGCAGCTGCTAACAACCAGTTCAGTGGCCTTAGAATTGCCAGAGGATGTCCCACTATCACTCACCTGTTGTTTGCAGATGACTCCTTGGTTTTCTGCAAAGCTGATCATGGTCAAGTTCAGAGGCTTCTTCACATTCTGGAGATTTATAATGATTTTTCTGGCCAGAAGGTGAATCTTGCTAAATCCACAGTCTTCTATAGCAGGAACACTCCCCTTTCTCTGAAACAGTACTTAGGAGCAATGATGAATGGAGTCCAAGCTCACAACTCAACTAGATACTTGGGACTCCCGCTGGGAATTGGAAAATCAAAGCAGGAGGCTTTTGCTTTCATCATCCAAGCTGTAAGGAAAAGACTGTTGAGCTGGAAAAACAATTATCTGTCCACATCAGGTAAGAAAGTCTTGGTAAAGGCAGTGGTTAATGCTCTCCCTGTTTATGCTATGAGCTGCTTTAAGCTGCCAGCTGCTACTTGTCAAGAGTTGAGTAGATTAACTGCTGCCTTCTGGTGGAGCAAAGGGTCTAAGCAAGACAGAGGAATACATTCGAAGCAATGGAATAAAATTATAGTCCCTAAAGCTGAGGGTGGTTTGGGGTTCCATGACTACAAACTATTCAATGAGGCTATGATATTAAAACAGCTTTGGAGAGTCACAACTTGTCCAGACCTTCTCATGAGCAGACTTCTTAAGGCCAAGTATTTCCCTCAGACATCAATTATGGAGGCCAAAAGGATAAGCACAACATCATGGATATGGAATAACTGGGTGGACTTCATACCAACTTTGGCTAAGGGGCTGAGTAAGGAGATTAGAAGTGGCAAACAAACCAAAATTCTAGACCACAGCTGGGTGCCTAATTTACTTCATAAGAGTCCTCAACCCTTACAGAATGCAGAAGAACCCTTAATTTGGGTGTGTGACTTGATCAATGAAGATGGGAGGAGCTGGAATAACAATATCTTAGCTAGAAGGTTTTCAGAGAATGACAGACTAGCTATTCTTGCTATTGACTCCTTGAGACCTGAGCTCCCTGACAGATGGCAGTGGAAGTTTGACAAAAATGGAAAATTCAATGTTGCTGGCTCATACTCTCACCTGATGGAATGCAATCTTTTGAGAATGGACAGAGCTGAAGGAAGTGGCACAGGTCATAAGGACAAACTCATTAGACAGAGGAGCTAGAAGATGAGGGTTAAAGGGAAATTAAAGCACTTCATTTGGAAGTGCTTTAATGGTATTCTTCCAGTCAGTGTCAACATTATCAAGAAAGGAATCCAGGTGGATGTTATATGCCATCAATGTGGAGAGGGGGAGGAAACTATAGAACATTTGTTCTTTGATTGCAGGAAAGCAAAAAAGGTGTGGAAATTGTCACATTTGAAATGGGATGGAGTGCAACAGAGTGGAAACTCTTTCAGACAATGGTGGTGGCAAATCTGTTCAATAGACTCATCAATCATCTCTGAGGACCGCATCCAACTGACCACGTACATCCTTTGGTGGTTATGGCGGTCTAGGAACTTATGGTTGTTCGAGAAGACTTGGATCCCGAAGGAGATGGTGGTGAAGAGCGCGTGGAAAGAATGGGTGGAGTTTGCGAAGAGCTTTGAGCGGGTAGAGTCCGATTTCTAGTTTGGTTCTTTTTTCCTCTTTGCTGTTGTTTTTATTTGATGGTTTCTTTTCTTTATTGTCGTGGTTTGTTTGGGGGATTTACGGCTTTAAGTCGCAAGGACTTGTCCTTGCTTAAAGTTCGTAGTTGGGTGTATGTGTCTAGATCACTCTTTGAGTGTTTCTCCCTTAGTTGATGTTTGGTTTTAGTTTGTTTTTTCCGGGGGCTTTCCCGGCTTGTATTAGAACTTATGTATCTTCGTTTGTGTTTAATGTTATTCATCTATCGCTTGGAAAAAAAAAAAAAAAAAACTGGTGGAAGACCGCGAGTGCTTTTTAATCTGATATTTTATTGCGTGGATTATTAATATTTTTGTTATAGATTAATATATATATTTTTTTTTTTAGTTTTATAAATTTGATGTGATACTTGGTCAACAAAATTGAAGCTTGAATTGATTCTAGTTGTACTTGATGAATCCAATGATTTGAACAGTTGTATTATCATTCTGTCAGGTTTGTAACCGTTGTATTATCATGTAACTGGCAGAGATAGTTGATCTAACAATTACAAATTCTAACAGAATGATCCCGTACGGAATCGTAGTATCTTTCTGTATTATAATCATTAAAAATACACTTCGAAAATTGAAAATTGAAATTCTGAGAGGTATCTTTTATTTTCAATATTCCTATTCTGTTTTTATTAATATAATAAAATTATAATACAAATATTTTCATATAAGAAAATATTTATTATACTTATTTTTATTCATTTTATGGTGTTCAATTACTTTTAGAGCAAAATATTAATTGTACTTATTTTTATTTATTATGATATTCAATCACTCTATCTTATTTTAAAAAAATTATTCTCATATCGAAGTTTAAGTCCACATTTTCATAATTCATTTGAATTCGATTTTTGTTATCGGTATTTAAATTTAATTTTTCCTCATATTGTTTCTTGTTAGTCCACTTACGTGAAGTAACTCGAAATTGGGACTATAATTTTAACAACTCTAATATAAATTAACAAAAAACGTTTGTATGAAGGGTTTTAAATTGAGCCTACATTTTTAACAACTCTAATATAAATTAACAAATTCTTTTGTATGAAGGGTATTTATTTAGGCGGATCGACCTATTGAACCTAATCTTTATAATCAAAATGTATACATATTATGAATATTATACTTTTATCAAAACTAGAAAAAAAAAAGGAATTCTTTTCAAATTGAAAGAAGAAAAAATAAAAATAATTTTTTTACACTTGTTGAAGTGTAGTATCGTACTTTTGGAAAATGTTAAGGTTCAGTTACGGAACTATTCTATCAGAATTTGTAATCGTTATTAACATGCAATCGTCATAGATAATTGATCAACTGTTACAAACCCCACAAAATAGTTCCGTAACCAAACCGTAACAATTTTCCTGTACTTTTAGCATCCTCCTAGAAGTTTTTTTTTTTTATTTAGTTTAGCTATTCGTTTAATGTGGCGGGAAATAAAATCAGGGAACAATTGGAAATTTGGTAATTTTATCCCATTAGCAGCGCCGCCACGTGAATCCGAAGCGAAAGAGATGGCAGACAAAGAAGAGAAGGAGAAGGAGTTGACGGAGAAGGTGGTGCCGGAGGCGGAGGAGCTGCCCAAGACCATCGTGCGCCGCCTGGTCAAGGAGAAGCTCTCGCACCTCTCCGCCGACGCCGAGATCTCCGTCCTCCGCGACTCGCTCCAGGCATTCTCCGAAAGCGGCCGCATCTTCATACACTACCTCGCCGCCACGTAAGACCCAACGCTCGCACTCGGACACATTCGATCATGTTTTAATCGAGTTAATGTTCATGTCTTGATTTTGTTAGGTCAGGTCTGCGCTTGATTCTGCTTGCTCGAATTAATTTTCCTTTTTTCTTTTTCTTGTTTTGGTTTTTAAAGTGGACAATAGTTCAACTGTAAAAAAATTTAATTTTTTTGCAGATTCTGGATGAGTTCTAATTGGGTTTGTCTCTATTGCGTTTGCTTCATAGGGCTTTTACCCTAAAAATTGGGTCTTTCTAATAATGTCTTGGATTTCTAAATAGATATGCATGAAGAGTTGTTAAATGCTGTGTTCTTTCTTGTTTTCACTGTTAATTTATTGTTGGTGGTGAATTTTAATTAGTAACTTATTTTCAAATTTGAATGTTGGCTCTCCTATTCATTAGTTACTCTGATGAATCTGAATAATTCTGCTCGTATGAAATGTTTGACGTGCCTTTTGTTAACTAAGCATCGAGGCATTGGAGTTGTTTGATCAAATCGGTGATGTATGGCTTACGATATCCTTTGATGTCTCCAGTGCCAATGATATGTGTAAGGAGTCAAACAGGCAAATCATCAATGCCGAAGACGTGTTCAAGGCCCTGGAGGAAATAGAGTTTCCAGAGTTTATTGAACCTCTCAGACAGTCTCTTGAAGGTTTGGCTCGTGTCCATATTAAACTGTTCTTCGTTAACTACCCTTAGATCAATATTGCTTGCCCTCTTTTCATCCTCTCATATATGTTAGTATTATGTTGTATATGCTCACCCATTTGCGTCACATGGATGAACATGCCGTTAACCAGTTATGTCGGTGATACCAAAAAAAA